ACAGTGTGCTGATAAATATAAAGATGTTGAAAAAATGGTGCAATGAGCTGCATCAAGTTAGAAGGCGAAATCACACAAACTCGGCTGGTAATAAATATATACAACAATACTCATGGTGACACCCTCATGCAGTAAGGGTGATGTATGTTGTATCACAAGACACAACAAGGTAGCTGTATTACTGTTTTTAAAAATTCCCCTCTTGCCCCTGTGGGCTGTCTTTATCCTTCAAGCTCAGGTCCTGAACCAGAGGTCTGGAAGCTTGAGGGCCTTGGGCAGTATCTTTGCTGTTCCTAGGACTGCACTCTCCTGACCGGTGTCTAAAGCTGGACCCCAGCTTTGGGGTCACTGCACCGAGCACTCTGATTATCACTCGGACCACTGTTACCTTCACCCTCCACAATTTCTTGAGCTCCTCTCTCAGCCCTTGGTACTACTCCGGCTTCTTGTGTTCCTTCATCCTGATGTTGCTGTTTTACCTTTCTGTGACTGAATAATCACGAAACACGATGAATAACACCGGTATTGTCAAGACCATAGTGTTGTCAAATTTATGCAAAGAAAATACTTTAATATCAATTATTTTATCTTATTCCAGTAAAAAGCATTTGGTGTTCTGTAAAAACACAAGAAAAAACTGCCCTTTGCCAGAGATCATACAGACAAAGAATAATATTCTCTAGAATTTTTTGGGGCACAGAACAAAACATTAATAAATTCCCTGGAAAGTACCGTAGACCAGCTGTCAAGTACAGTGGAAATTTGATTGGCTGTGGGATGTGCTGCTGCCTGAAGGGCAATTTGAGTAAACCACGAATGAACCATCGTGTCACCGCACGCTTGAGTTCATGGTGTTCAAAAGTTAAAGCTGAACCAGAAGTGAGGATTTGGTACATGAAAGAAAAGTTTATTTGAACACAAGCATGTACGTCTACACACATCTACATGGATATGTGACTGAAATAAACCACTAAACAATCAAGGTATGGACATTGAGACTGTGGACAGCAGTGTTGGTCAAGTTACTTGAAAAAAATGATCAGTAACTAATTACTTCCCCCCCAAAAGTAATCCCATTACTTTACTGATTACTTATTTTCAAAAGTAATTAATTACTTAGTTACTTTTTAAAAACACGATTTACAACCTGAAGAGGTGACAAAGCGATAGATCTTTCAGCCCAATTCTACTTTTTCTGCATAATTCATCATATAAAATGTAATCAAATGGAAAAGTCTCTTTTTAAAACTTGTTTTATTAGTTTTAATCTTTTAACTTTATGCATCAAGCAAAAATGTAATTATATGCAACATTCTCTGACTGGAAGAAATTTGTTTAATATTTAAACCTATTTTCTGCACATTCCAGCACATAAAAAAAAAAATATATATATATTTGTGTTTACACTCACTCTTTCAAATAGATGCAAGTAAAACACAGCAGAAAATAAATAAAGTCAAAGACTCAGCGGTCCTGTTGCTCTATTTTCACCTGTAAAGCAGGACTAGGGTAGGCGGAGGTTTAACCTGGTGCAGGTGTGCCGCGGTCAGTTGAAGAATCAGCAAGTTTCTCTGTGTTTCCCATTAAGAGTAAGGTAAGGTCAGTACTTCCACGCTTTAAACGCTGCACGCTCATACTCTCTCCCGCACACTTGATATATTATCCATCGCTTACGTCACTGTCATGAGACATTCTCGCAAAAAAATCCCGGTTTTAGTAACGCAGTAACGCAGCGTTCCTACGGGAAAGTAACATAATCTAATTACCTTTTTTGCAATAGTAATCCCTTACTTTACTCGTTACTTGAAAAAAGTAATCGGATTACAGTAACGCATTACTGCCCATCTCTGGTGGACAGCTACAGGTACCTTGGTGTTCATCTGAACAATAAACAGGACTGGACTCATAATTCAGACGCCCTCTACAGAAAAGGGCAGAGCAGGCTGTACCTGCTGCAGAGACTCAGGTCTTTTGGAGTGAACGGCCCACTCCTAAAGACCTTCTATGACTCTGTGGTGGCCTCAGCCATTTTTTTACAGTGTGGTCTGCTGGGGGGGGCAGCATCTCTGCTGAGGACAGGAATAGAGTGAAAAGGCTGATCCGGAGGGCCAGCTCTGTTCTCGGATGCCCTCTGGTCCAGAGGAGGTATTGAGCGACAGGAGAATGGTGGCTAAGCTTTCATCCCTGTTGGACAACATGTCCAACCCCATGCAGGAGACTCTGACAGCACTGAGCAGCTCCTTCAGTGGCAGGCTGCGGCACTTACGATGTGGGACGGAGAGATTTCGCAGGTCTTTCCTCCCCACTGCTGTCAGACTCCACAACAAAGACTGCAACTGACCAAACACACACATCCATACATGCGTAATAGCAATAACGCTAAGTGCAATACTCTTTTCTGGCATCGTTGTATTATACTCAATTGTATATAGTATTTGTATTCTATTTTAATCTATTGTATATAGTATTTTATTTTATTCTATTGTATTGTGTACAGTATCTTATTCTTATTCTTTATCTTATTCCAGTGTTTTTCTAATTTTTCTATGTAACTTTGCACTATCCACTTTCTGCTGTAACAAAACAAATTTCCCACGTGTGGGACTAATAATGGTTATCGTATCTTATCTTATCTAACCTAAATAGTTGTGTTCAAGCCTACTACTTTTATCTCTTGGCACTTCTTCAAATAGGTCCATAGCCTCAGGTCTGCTGCACAGATGTTAGTTACTAAACCAAAATGGTCAATAAACTTGATGTGTTTAAATATTTCACGACATTTTCTTTTTTTCTTCTTTTTTAAGTGATACAGCTGATGTTAGTCTGATGGACTGGTTTGGAGTACCCTGCTGCTTTCCCTGGGACATTCCTGTGTTCTCATTGCCTATATTTTAGAGTTTTAGACTACTGAGACTATTATGTAGTTGACTTTTACTGGTTATTTACTTACAGTCTCTGTCATATTCTCTTGGGTATTGTGCAAAAGTCTCAAGCCCCTCATTTTTTATATTTTGCTTTCAAGGAAGAAAAATAATTTTGAGTAACAGCTCTCCAGGCTGTCAAAGGTTTTTCTTTGGATATTTGCCACTTTTTTTTCCCACACAAAAAGAAATTGTAATATAAAAGTATTGTACTGTGCATTTTACAGTTTTGTACTGTTTTTCTAGAATGTCATTGAATTTGCATAAATAGACTGTGATTTCACATTTCAAATGTAAAATAACATAAAATCACTGTAAATGTAATAAAACATAATTTTCTTGTTTTTTAAATATAGTTTTTGTACATATGCATATTTAGATTTTTAAAATACATTCACAAATGTATCATAATTTCATAAATATTTGTCCGTTATTTGAAAGATTGAACTGTTAAATTCAAATGTAATGCTATAGAAAGATATATAAAATGATTCTTATAAGCGTTGTTTTTTTTTTTTTTTGTGATTTTTTACGTCAAATATTTAGGGCGATCGTGGCTCAAGACTTGGCAGTTCTTCTTGTAACCAGAAGGTTGCTGGTTCGATCCCCGGCTCGGACAGTCTCGGTCATTGATGGCTGGAGGGGCCGATGGCGAGATATCAGTCTGCCCCAGTGCAGCTGTGGCTACAACTGTAGCTACAACTGTAGCTTGCCTCCACCAGTGTGTGAATATGAGAGTGAATAAATAGTGGAATTGTAAAGCGCTTTGACGGTCTCAAAAAGCGCTATATAAATGCAATCCATTATTATTCTTTAAACCAACTGTTAACTGTATATTTCTGTACATTTATGTATTATTATTCATATTGCCGCATTCATTGACCTTGTTTATAGGTAATTTCATTGTTTAATCACATTAAAATGTTCCTAATTTAATGTTTAAAAGCACTTGAAAAAGGCAAAATCCCATGTAAAATTAGGGCAACAAACTGTATTGTCATTACTGAAAATAACCGTATTTTTGTGAGAAAGTTATTTTCAGTTATTTTCTAGTATTATTTTGGCGTCCAGCTGCCAGAATATTACTGGTTTTTTTTAGGATTTAATTTTTTTAACAGTGCACTTATTCCCAGTTCAGTCTTTGTACTTGACCCTTTCTTTCCTTTTTTTTTGTAAAACCACTCAAAAAGGCCTGCAACTCAAGGGATGAACCACTATAATGAGACAATTAATAAATTAAAACAACAACAACAAATCTTTATGCAAACATTGCAAGCATCAAAGTGGAGGACAAAAGAAGAAATGGAAGGGCTAGAAAAAGTATGTAATGAGTCATATCACAAATTAAGCACCTCCTATGACCAGTTTTAATTCACTTTTCATATAAATAAAGACAAACATGTATATAAATATGTAACTGTAAGTAATGGCTCACCTGCAGTACCTCCGTGGCCCAGCAGGAGGTACTGCAGGTGTAATACACACCAAACCCCAGCAGATAGAGCTGTTACTCAAAAGTAGATGGGCCAGTTTATGGATAGCCATGGAAGTCCGAATGGCTTTTTCGCAGTGTCAGGAAACACTTCAGTCTTTTATGGCTCTCCTGTCAAACAATGACGAGAGTTGTAAAGACATATTTCCCAATAAATGGATCTTAAACGCAGCTCTGTCATTCTTCTTTCATCAGATTTGCGTTACGGTACCAACACTTTCATCAAGGAAGCTCAAACGATGTATGCAAACTAACTTTTTGTCTTTTGTTTTGTCCC